GGATACCACGCACAACTCGTCCTTCTATATATTAGAAGCTTTCAGTTAAGGCGAGCCGCAGCGAGGTATCCGCAGTCTGGTATCCGGATACCAGACTGTGGATACCGCACGGCCCACTTCGTCGCAGACGCAGCCCGGGCTGCGTTTTCGCAAAAGTCGCAGCCTGGTCGCATTCTCCATGTATGGCGACCTACAGCCCGCGCGGCGACTCCTACAGCCTTCGTGACCATCGATAGCCACTCTGACGAGCTTTCAGCTTCCTCGGAGGCCTCGAAGCCGCTGCGGTCGGGTTGCCCCTGGCTGCGGCGCGTCCACGCCACATGCAAACGGTCCCAGGACCTGGTGCGGCTGGATGCGATGGTGTCGCTCGACCGGGGGACGTCCTGGGACAACCTCCTCGCGTCACTGGCGCTGGAGGAGTCGCGAACCGTCACAGTGTCCCGGCGGGCAGCCGCGGCGCTCGAGCCCCGACCAGACAAACTCGACGATCTCGACTCTCGCCGGCCAGACCTTTTAACAAGGCGATGCCGGAGTGACGACAAACGATCCCTGTCGCTGCACGAGCTCGAAAACAGCTTTAGGGGGTCGGGGGAGTCGAGCGCGCCGCATTCCAGCCCCTAAACTCGCCTGTCTGAGTCGCCGCGCAGTCGCCTGAATGTCGCGTTTTCACCAGTGTGTTGTCCGTGCGCGTGCGGCCCTCAAAGCTGCTGAGATCGTTGCGCAATTCCCCATATTTGCGGAGCTGCGCCACCACAAAGGCTGCCATACTCTCTCGGCCGCTCAGATGCGTCCTGCGGATAGTTCGACTGGATGTTTGATGGATGTCTGACTGATACCAGACTGCGGATACCTCGCTGCGGCTCGCCTTAACTGAAAGCTTCTATTAATATATTATGGACTATCAGCAGCGTCTGAGCGCGGAAACGGTGTTTTGCAACGACGTCCTTGCATGCGACGCCCTTCCAGCGCTTCCAGTGCGTCGGCACGCTGTCGCATATCTTCCGCGCATTGGCGCACGCGACGGCGGCGTTTCTGTCGTCGTGGGCTGCCTCGCCGCCGCCATGGGTGCCACAGCCGACGACAGCGACAACGTCGTCGTGTGCCTGCTACCGCCGTCGATGCGGTTCGGAGCACTGCGTCGCCGCGCGGCCGCGGCGCGCGGCGCGGCCCGGCGCCGGCGCGAGGGCGCGGCCCGAGGCCGGTTCCTGGCGGCCCGGGGCCGCGCGGCGCTCGCCGCGCTCGCGGCGGCCGCCGCGGGCCGCACGCGGCGCCGGCCCGCGGTCGGCGCCGCGCGCTTCGCGCGGCGGGCCTGCGGCGCGGCGCTCTCGGCCTGGGCGGCCCGCGCGCGGCGGTCCGCGGCCCTGGGCCGCTTCCTCAGGAGCCGCGTCGCCGCCTGGCGGCGGCCGCGGCCGCGGCGGCGGCCGCGCGGAGCCGGCTCCGCCGGGGCCTCGCGGCTTGGGCCGCGGCCGCGCGCCGCGCGCTCCGGCGAACGGCGGCGCGCCACGTGGTCCGCGTCCAGCGGTCTCACGCGCTCCGCGGCGCGCTCGCAGCACTCGCCGCGGCGGCCGCGGCCGCGGCGCTCGACGCGCGGCGCGCGGTCGACCTCGGGCTCCGACTCTGTCGCCGCGCGAAGGCCTTCAACCGCCACGCCCGCGATCACCCGCGTGGCTCCAGCGGCCAAATTTCTCCCACGCTTCGCGCGCGCCCATATTTTCCCCCTGCGCTACCCGCGCGCGCCCTGCCACTCGCCAGTCCCTGCGGTCATGCCGTCTAAGAGACCTATGTTAGAATCCGAGTATGCTAGTATGAAGCCCCAGCATAGTATAGCACGAGTATAGCCAGTATAAGGCAGACTTAGCATAGCCAGCATAGGCCAGTATGAGCGTCCCAGCAGGCAGCCTAGTGAAGCTGCCCTGCCGTGTGAGGGTGAACTATCGAGGTTACGCAGTGGCGGTACACCGGCGTCTCTGTTATCCTCACGTCACCTCAGCTGCCGTAGTATACGGGGGCCGGGGCTACTGGACGAACGGGCAGAGGATCTGCCTCACTAGGTCCAGGAAGACTCTCCGTCTATTACAGTGCGGGAGGCAACTATAACAGGGTTGTGGTCTGTCAAGTGCAGGGCACTGTGACCCATTCCGACCGGGGCGAGTTTCGGGGGAGCCATAAACCGGCGCATTCGCCGTACGGCGCCGCAGGACGCAGCTCCCCTAATTCTCGCGTCCCCCGAAATCCCGGAAGTCGCTCCAGCGACGCCCCCCAAAACCAGGCGCCAGCGGAGGCGGAGCGGAGCCCGGAGAGCACCCGGCCCGGCGGGCTCAGTGACCCCCCCTATCCGCGCTCGTTGCAATTTGGACCAAGAAAACATCAACTTTAGGATCAACATAGCGGAGCTGAAGAACAAAACCACAGGAGCCGCCGAGCCACCATCCCCGAGGGACCCCTCGCATCTGGGACTCGGAGGACACCGAAGCTCGCGGGCGGGTGCGCCCGGGAAGTCGTCCTGTGGTCCTACTACGACACCATGGGTTTCGAGGAGGTTGTAATTTGGACCACCCCAGCGGGATCGGCCTCCGCGGGCCCGCACTCGTCGGTAGCTGCGGCCTGGCGGGCATCGCAGAGTCATGGGTCGTCGGCGCCGTCCGCGAGCTCGCCGTCGGAGCCGTCGCTAGCAGCGTCGGCCGAATCCTCAGCCGGTTGGCGGCGCCGCACTCCCCGTCAAAGTCGTGGAGCTTCGACGTGGCATTGTAGGCCCCGCGGGGCTCGATGACGAGCTTGGCGCCGCGCCGCGCGGCCCCGAGCGCGGCCGCCGGACCGTCCGTGATCGACTTCTGCTTCTTCTTCATGGGGCTCTTTGTCGGACTCTTTGGAGCGGGCGCAAGCGCGCGCGCGCACGCTGCACGTCTAGCAGCGCCCCGGCGCGGCGCCCGTCCCCCCGTCGTCGTCCCGCGGCGCGTCGTCCCCATCGACCCGCGCCCCCCCAACGCCGTGGCGCGTCGCCCCCGCATGCTCACCGCCAAGGCCGCGGCGCTGCCACCCGATAGGCAGCCCGAAATCGGTCCCTCCGAGACCAAATCCGACAGGGACTTCGAGCGCCGCGTCCCCAGGGAGTGCCCGGGGGCGCGCGACTTCGAACCCGCGCCGAAGGCGACCAAGAATCGGCCGCGAGACAGCCCTCAGAGGCGGACCATCGTGTGGCTCTCCGTATGGTCCAAATTACGAACTGGTCAAATTGCAACGAGCGCTGATAGGATAACGCTAATAATCAGAGATACTGTAGTAAACCGGACGAGAGCTTCGACAATTGTAATGCTTTACCTTGTGTTCCAGGTAACGTCCATTACTGCTGGCGCGTAGCATGTCAATTCAATTAAGTATCCAGCAGCAGCGCACCACCGCTACGATGCAGCGCGTGATAACAATCCACGTGCCGGGTGATGTTCCATTGGGGATTCAATTCGCGCACTCAGCACCTTTGGGTTTGCTGGTCATCGCGTCACTGTCTCGAGATATTTCGTTGCGTTCCATACTTCAGAGTGGTGATGCGATTACTTCGGTCGCCGGCGTTCAGCTAGAGCCCGGCGCTTGGGACGACGCACTGCGGCAAGTCCGCGAGGCGTTGAAGCCGCGACCGGAGCCTAGGGAGCTACAGTTCGTGCGTGTTCTTGACGTGCCCACGCAGCTAGATCTGACCAAGAACAAGGCGTTTCGCGATCGCGTCAAGCTCCCGGCCAATATGCGGGCGGAGAACAAGTCATCCAAAAGCATCTCGGTCGGCGCGGAATTCATTGAGGCACTGCATAAGAAGCGCAAAGAGGAGGTCCAACTATTCCCAGTGTTAGTTAATTGGTTCTCTGTGACTGCTGTGGGCTGTAGGAAGAAGAAGAAGAAGAGCAAAAACGAGCTCTAGCGAGTGCTAAGTCTATCCATCCCATGGAAGGACTGATATTGCGTGCAATTTCATTTTCCTCGCTTCAGACGACGCATGCGCTAAGCCAGAGTCACGAGTCTTTGATTAATAAACGCGTTGCGAATAGGTGCAAGTGCAAAACGATAGCTACTGGTATCGAGCACGACGTGACATAGGTGGTGCATTGCATCTACAGAGAGAAGTGGAGCAAGTGACAGGCGACGCGGCAAGCCACTTTTCGCGCGGAGTTGGTTTTGAAGGATTCTTTTATGTCAAAAAAGCTAACAAGGATGGTGATGTCGTAGCTACGCGAGTCTCTGCGGGTACCGCGCCAACTGCAGTTAAAGCATGGAACCTCGCAGACAATGCATGCAGGGTACGGGACAGCAACCCGGCTGATATGCATTCGCCAGGCTTGCAGGGACGAGACCTACTGGGCACTCACTTTCAGGCAATCGTGATTTCGCCGATCTTCTGTGGCCTCTCACAAACTGAGCGACTAGAACTTATCGTTGATGCACTTCTGGAAAATCCCACCCCAAAAGACGAAGCTGATAAGCTAGTCAGTTTTGACTGCGTCCCAGCTGATGGAGAGTGCGCTTCCGTAGATTCTGGCGTTGTTTGGGTTCCAGAAAGAGTGCCCAAAGGATTTTCTCCAGGGCGGCTGACCTCCAAGCTTCAGTTTTGCGCACGTCTGACCGGCCTGAAGGCTTCAAAACTTAATGTTCGATTGATGACGCCAGCGCAGTGGAATCCGCAGATCCACGCGCCCTTGGAGGCCGAGCGCCACAATATTACCAGGGGGCGACGAGGCAAGCTCGGCACGAGCTTGAAATCAACAAGAGGTATAAACGCGGCAGAATCTCCCGGTACCGTTCGCCATTTGCTGAACCAAGGTCTTGTGAGGAGAGATGCAAACATAGCATCTATGCGTAGACCGGACCGGGGCAACTGTGGTGACCCGCTTGGACACTTCTTTCACGCCCTGCCCCCCAAACACCAGCTATTTGTTCTAGCGAAGCAACGGCGTGCAGACGAGGCACTGGAACGTGCTCAGCAAAAGGCCACGGCACGTGCGGCACGTTTGAACTATGTAGAAGAGCAACACAAGAAAAAAACGACACTTGAGTCTCACGAGACCAAATCTGGGTCTATCTTATCGAGCACTGCACGAGATCCAATCAAGGAACAACGCCTGCGGAACGCATTGTGCTCGGGAATGATGTGCATCGACAAGAAACGTGAGGCACAACTTGCGATAAGACTTCAGCGTGTCTATCGCAGCACTATGCTGCTCCGAGCTTTCCGCCGACGAAATCGCCGCCATCTCGCTGCTATCCGGATCCAGCGAAGCCTCCGTGGCTGTTATGGCCGAGTTTACCATGCCATTTTCGCACAAGTTTCGACACTCGCGGCAACTCGAATTGCTACTCGACATCGCATTGTTGTTGCTATTCGCCAGACACAGGAGCGCCGTTTGATAATGAATCTTGGCGCTCTCGTGATTCAGAACGCCCTTCGGCGGCACCACGCTTTCCACTATGTTTGCTGGGCACGGAAAAACTGGCAACATGCAACCAGGCTTACAAAATGTGCGCGCAAATTTCTTGCTCGCTCTAGAAACGACCTCATCCTCTTCTCTAGACTCTTCCAGCGGCGTCGCGCATGCCGGCGTCTCACCATCCGAAAACAGGACGGTCTAAAACAGTGTTTTATTGCCGTGCGTGCTGCAGCACGCATCGCGGCAACTATGCGTGGGGTACTTTGCCGCTTGAATTACTACCACAAGCTTGCCAGCGATGTGAACCAACGAATTGTTGGGCTCGCTCTGCGCCTCCTACAGCGTATCGCTCGGGGTCACTCGGGGCGGTGCCAGGCGCAAGGGGCTAGGCAACGGAGGGATAGTGCGATTCAAATACAACGCATTATGCGTGGACATGCGCAGATTTTGTGGCGCAGACGATTAGACTTCGTCAAATTTGAGTTGTTTTCCTTGGTGCAGCTCCAAAAGGTTGCTCGCGGTTACCTGGACCGTATTTTTGTGAGCCTAAAGCAAAATGAGGCAACACGCATCCGCCTGAGAACGATTTTAGTACCGCGCCTCCAGGCGTGTGTCCGTCGCAAGGTCGCGATGCGAGTCACAAAAGAGAGATTTGTCGCCATCACAAATAGTGTCAAAATACAGCAAATTTGGCGACTATGCATACTATGCCGCGAGGCTAAGTGGGAGTTCCAGAAGCGGCTTGTGCATGTCCGCGCCCAGGCGGTAACTTGCATTACTCGACGGCTTCGCGGACTCTTCGCAAGGCACCATTATTCGGCGATGCGCCACTCAGCCGCCGGGCATCGACTCAAGTCTGCTCGGATCATCCTCAGGGCATGGCTACGATATCGCAGCGTGCAGCGTTTTGCAGTTTTAAAGGAAGCATGGGAAGTTGAAAAGTCCGCCAAAACATTAATGGCCTGGCATGCTCTTCGTGATGATGTTCGAATCGACATGGCAGATGTCCGTGCCGATGTCAAGGATATCCGGTCGTCACGCAAGTGGGCACGGAGGCGGTTGAAGGCCCTGAGAAATTTCATGGCAGAGGCTGAGCTTCGGTTGCCCAAGGTCGAAACACAGATAGAGACGCTGGATATCTCTGATGTTGAGAATGGGTGGGCCGAGGCCCTGCAAAATGAGTGGGAACGGCTCACATCTCAACTCGCCATGGCGAGTGAGGAAAAGCGGATCATGAAGGTCCATATTAGTCGTTGTGACGCTGAACTCCTTGAACTTCAGTTAGAGTACGAAGATATTGAAGTTGACATCGACGATATCGCGGTGCGCGAGCAAGAGGAATTTGAGCTTCTACGCCGCCTTGAAATAAAACGCGCTGACGTACGTGCCCTGGCCGGGTGGGAAAGGCGCGTTCGCAATGAGCGCATGCGGTGGAGAGTGAGAGATGTACGCACACGTGTTCTAAAACGGGAGCGCAAAACCCGGACGGAACTTCTTGCGAAGGCCATCAAAAAGCGCGAGATTGCGATGTCGTCCACGCTTTCGATACACAAGCGCAAGCAATTTTTCAAGGAGGCCCAACGAGAAGCCACGAAAGAAGATCACGCCAACCGGGCGTCAATCTTGGCGGCAGCGGCTGCCGATGAGGCCGGCGCTCTCGGCAAGCTCAAGGACACATACGACTCGGTGATTTCTGGATGCGCGGCGCTCCTCCAGAGCGCCACGTTCGAAATGCGCAACACCGAGTCGCATGGCAATACACTCGGCTAATGCCCTGTGTCTGGCTGGACTGGGGTAATCCCTCCGACGGCGACGACCGCATGATGTCGTGTGATAGACTCTTGGATTCATGTTCAGATTGCAAGAGAACTTTTTGCCGTAGAGCCCAAGCCAAGGTTACAGCCACCTTGGGACACTTTCCTCGGGGGCGCAAGTGAGATCACCTCTCGTGTGATCCACGGCCGCGTTGAGCTAAAGAAGAAAGCAAGCAAGAGTCCGGCCAGACTGCCGCCTGGCCGCGTGTCGGGCCATGCGCAGCCGCGGCCTCGCCCACCGCTTTCGCGCTGCCGCCCCCTAGGCGCTTCGCCCGACGTTGTGGAGGAATTTCTGTAGCTTAGTGGCCCGCTGCTCCCTTCGTTATTGGCTATTTCTTATTGGCTCCTCTTGAATATTTTATCTTGGTATCTTTCCTTCCCTCTCTCGACGGGGGGGCAATACGATTCAAGCACGACTTTGGAACGAGTGGCTCTGAGCTTTTGTCCGAAGCCATTCAATATTTTTATTGCAGAGATATTTTTGAACGAGTGGTTCTGGGGCGTCGCCCCATGTCCGAAAATGCATCAAAAGTGCTGCAATAAAAATCGGGTGGCCAGGAAACTTTGCCCCGACGTCTCTCGGACAATAAGATCATGTCCTGAGTCATAAACCGGGCTGAACACGGATTCTTATTTGGGTCCTTCCAGGCTGGACACGAATACTTGAGGATCTCTGAATTGTCTTCAAGTTTGGTTAGACACAGAAGAGCGCTATGCACTCTGTGCCTGCTTGGCAGTCACTCCTTCAGTTCGCTGTCTATAAGACTTGAAACTGGACTAGAATGAATTAAGGAAGGGAAGGGAAGACTAGCAGGATACGCAGTAGGAGCGCAGTGGGGTAAGGTGCACTGCAACATCAAGATGCAGTTCACTGAAGATGAAGATAGAAATCTCTCTATCTCTCTAGAGAGTATCCCTAGTTAGGCCCCTCCTCTCATCCCTCTTACTTTTAATTCTCCACGGCTTATGCTAAGGAGAGTTGCGGGGCTGAACCTGAAAAGGGAATTCCTCGTAGTCAGTATAGTGAACTTGAAAAAGGGATCTATCTGAATTGGGTAGCTTCGTGATCCCCCATCATCCCCATAGTTTACACTACCCTGCTCCCTCTCTATCGCGACGCCACACTATGGAGATGGCACTGCACTTCCCCGTAACGTTGACATCAACGTTCCTTATTACCCTAGTTTGGGGTATTTCTCCCAACTTGTTACTTCTTCAAGTTGGTAAATGTCCTGATAAAGTAGCTTTCTAGTCAATCAAGATAATAATTTGGCATAAAGGGTAAGTTGAGTGAGCCTCAAGGCCCACCCCACTACCCTAGTTTACTAGCTAAACTCCCTCTCTCTAAAATAGGTTCGGCTGGCCACGGGGAGAAAGAATTTCGCCGGCGGGCTGCTTCAGCAACGCCGGTCAGATAAGAGCATAAGGTTCCGCATCTCCGCGCACTTGTAAAAGAGTGCCCCCCCGGAAAACCTCCAAGGCTACCCTTTCCAGCACCCCTAGGAAGGCGCTGCTGTCGGGCGACTCCTCCGTGAAGCCCGCGGCTGCCGCGAAAAACGCCTCCAGCGCGACCCGCGCTGGCAAGGCCCGCGCCTGTTCATTGAACGGGGCCCCTGCAGCTCCGGCGGGACTGGGTTGGACACAACCATGGCCGCCGTCGCTCCAACCTACACTGTGCCCCCCTTCCTCAGAAAGAATTTCGCCGGCGGGCTGCTTCAGCAACGCCGGTCAGATAAGAGCATAAGGAGCGAGTATCGACTGAGCTGCAATAATAAATAACAGCTCATTCTCTCTCTCTCCTCTGGGCGCTACTTTCCTGGCTAATCGAAGATTACCTGTACCAAGAGAGATTTCTCCCTGTACGAAAAATGAAGATGGCCAACTAATCTAACAATGGGTGAAGATCGACGTTGGAGTCAGGTCAATAGTAGTGGTTCGTCGCCGTCACCACGGTCTGGTGCGGCCTCGGTGATCGTCGATGCTCACATGTACATCTTTGGCGGTTACGGCGGTAGCCAATTCAGGGTTTTCGGATAATGATATTCATCGAACTCGGCTGAAATCAGGTGGGGGGCGCCTTGACGACTTTCATTGTTTCGATCTTGACAATACGAGGTGGAGCTGCGTAGAACCATCGAGCGGTGCATCCCCCGATACAATTGCTGAAGAAACACGATGCCTCGCAGGACTCACACCAGGAATGCGAGAAAATAATGGCCTTATTGAATTCCGAGGAAAATTGTACTTATTTGGTGGTACACAATCTGCGCAGATATTATACACAATCTGCAGATATTATTACACAATCAATAATATACCTCATTTTGACTTATAGAAATACATAGGCTACAATGGCCAGCAATGGCTCAACGATCTTTTCAGCTTTGATTTGTTTACAAAGGAATGGCATAATGTTGATCAGTCCGGTATCACGCAGGGTCTTCGTGTGAATCATATACTGTTGAACTCAGGTCAACCACCGGCCTCGCGCTTTGGGTATGTTTCAGTAGTACATAACAACTTCTTTGTGGTGTTTGGGGGCGGCCTGCCTGCGTCACCGATATGCCATCATGAAAAGCTTACGATACATAGGTTACGATGGTTCGACTTGGCTAAATGACATGCACCAATATGATTTTGAGACTTGGACCTGGTGTGCTGTCCAAGCCACTGGTGCTTTCTATTGATACAGAAGCAGTGTTCGTGACGTTGACATACAGGCCAGATTCCGTCGATTAGATCTTGTCCCTCTTGGTGCAAAGAGGGTGACTCTGTGTTTGTTTTTGGAGGCTATGATGGTCCAGCCAGCGCGAATATTATAGCGATGGGCAGTTTATGATGCAGGTGTTCAGCGCATGAACGACCTTTTTGAGTGCAACCTTGAGACACACACGCGACATACGTGTTGGGCTCACGCCGAGCATAGTACAGGGCCTTATCTCACAGGTGGCGCCAACTAACCTGCGGCGGTGCTGTCTCTTGCTGAGTTGCTGAGGTGCCGCTTTCTGAATTACTTTGTGTGCACGAGCAGGTTCCGAGCCCGCGCTACTTCCATGCCTGTGCGATCTACGGTGGGCGCATGGTGACGTTTGGTGACATACTATCCCAAGAGATAAATCTCGAGAAAGGGACCCGCAGGTGGTTACAATGGCGCAGAGCGCCTCAACGACATGCACGAATACTCATTTGCGACGTCACTCTGGACAAAGCTAGATGTATCCGAGGGTGACGTGCGCTCGATTAATTGGGTTGTTTATTTGCACAGTGATTGCCACCTAGGTTCCATCCGGCCGTTCTTCTCTCATTTCTCAAGTTTACGGGAACTCACTTTTTATCTTCGGCGGTTCGCCTATATTTCCTGTGGTGTCCAAAATATATTAAAAAAATAAAGGTGCGACACCACAGGATATAATGGTGCGAATGTCCTCAACGATTTCTACGAATTCCGGTTCGAACCCGTGGTCATTCCACCTCCAACTCTGGTTCAGAACTTGGAAGTCGGCAGAGCGAGAGAGAGAGGCCGGGCGTAGGTTGATGATATGAGGCGCCTTGTTAATAACAAAGACCTAAGCGACATCAAATTTATCGTTGAAGGCTGCACCATCTTCGCTTCCAAAGTACCAAACCTATGAACATTCGAAGAGAAGAGTCGTATTGTGAAGGTACACCTTGCCGCCCGCTCTGAGCACTTTTGCGCAATGTTGTACGGTGGAATGCGTGAAAGTACGTGCAAAGAAATAGAGATCAAAGGCGTAAGCTACGAGGTTTTCCTTGCTATGCTCGAATTTCTTTACACTGACACTGTATCAGACATATCACCGCGATGGCGCTTTGTAGCAAACTATGACTCGCATAACCCACGCAAGTTCTTGCAGGTCCATCGCGATTCCACTTATGGTCGTTTCTGAGCAATATCTTCTCGGTCGGTTGAAAAGCCTATGCCAGGATCAGATTCGGAAGTCTATTTCAGTAAGATCTGTCTCTTATTGCCGCATCAAGAACCATATGCAGGTCGAAAATGTGGTTTCTATTTTCCTTGCGGCAAAACGCCATTCAGCTGAAATCCTTAAGGATATCTGTCTCGCTTATATCCTGGAGCATTTGGAGGCTGTAAAGCTCGAGCGTGGATTCCAAGAGCTGAAACAGGAGCCGGATCTTCTCATGGAGATTATCCTTTCTCAGTAGCATGCGACTCTGTTATATCATATGGGACCGGTGTCAATTGACAATGCTCCGGGAAATGGTCTGAAACTTAACGCCCCTGAGTATTCCAAGTGCAGCAAACGCAGCAAAAAAAAAAATCCTAATCCCAGGAGACTAGAACTCCCGGGTTCCCCCGCCGATAATTAACCATTAGAGCCACCTATCACATGATGTGGACCGGGAGAGTGAACTGAAGTCAATGGAGGAAAAAAGGTTCTGTCTCACTGGCATCGCATTTCATTGATTTCCGTCCACTTGGCTTTTCGTATCTCCCACCACAGACTAGTCTATAGCGCATTAGAAGCAGCCCAAGAGCCAGCCCGGGCCACAGCTCGCGCCGCCGTCGCCGCCCCCCCGGGCCCGGCCAGGTAGATGATCAGTTCCGCCTGGCGCTAATGAGGTGGCTGCGCCATCCAAGCGCGGTCCGTCGGCCTTCATTCTGGCATCTTTAATTGAAACTGAGCTCACCCTCCCCTAAGGTACAGTCCGTAGTCACTACGGTCAAGGACAAAAACAACCATAGGGCTAGAGCGCCCCATAGAAGTATTTATTTATTATTTGTGGCCGCCGGCCGTAGTATGTCATAGAGGTCCTCCGTCGACCGCGCGCGCGCAGGTCGACCACCGGACGGAAATCGTGGCAAAATTGTTGAATTATGCCCCCGCCAAGCCGGCCTATCAGAATAGCGCGCTAGTCGTATCGATTGAGGGATTTCAAGGGTGTGGGGTCGCCGGTTCGGGTCGGAAGTCGTATTTAAATGTTCAACAAAACGCTTACTTGAAGGGAAGTATCACCCCAGATTTTGTTGACTACGGTAGCAGGATAAGCACAGTGGGTGAGAGGGGAAGCTCAGTGTGCTACCTTACGGTAGCTCAGTCATAAGATAGTAACTGATTATAAAGAAGGGGAACGGGAAGGAGAGCTTTACTAGGGTAGGTACAGTACTAGCATGATGGTAGTAGGATAGTGGTAGAGTAGCGTACTGTACTACAGTATAGTCATGGAGATATAGAGATAGAGAGAGAGGGACAGACATCAAGGTCCGTCTATATTCTTTGCATGTTAGCAAGCTATTTACTACAAAGGACGCACGACCTTCATACAACAGCACCATCCCTGAGGGCAGTCACTCGGTCACCCCCCAGCTTGGCTGTCAGATACACATCCTGCGCTACGAGAGGCGTGAGGATGAATAACGCAAAGCTTCATCCCGGACTGGCGGACCTTGTGGTAACCCAATACACGGGCGGCCGCGACCAGGCGCGCCGCTTCGAGGGACGTGGGAATGCGCAGTTCATAGGCGGGCACACATACGTCGGTGATTTTAAGGACGGCATGATGGATGGAGAAGGCGTTTACAAGTGGTCAGATGGAACGATCTTTACCGGGGGGTTCAGGCGCAACACCATATCGGGTTTTGGCACATATACTTGGCCAGATGGTACAGTATATGTCGGAAATGTTTTCCGTGGTTTCCGACATGGACAGGGAACACTCAAGGGCATGAATGGTTCCCCTTGCTACGACGGTGAATGGTTCCTAGGTTCCAGGCACGGGCATGGGACGCTCTCTTATAACCTTGAACAAAGCTCCCGATATGAGGGCAGCTGGGTAAATGACAATAGAGAGGGACGCGGCACGATGTATTATGCAAGTGGTAATATCTATCTGGGTGAGTGGTCGAAAGGTATCAAGTGTGGTGTTGGTAAGATGATATGGAATGATCGAGGTGAGCGCTACGTCGGCAGCTGGCTGAACGATCGACAGAATGGCAGGGGAGAGCATGTTTGGATCGAGGCTCAACCGCAGCATCAATGGTTGGGCACCCAGAGACACATGTGCAATCGCTTTTGTGGCCAATGGGAGGCTGGTGTGCGTCATGGAGTAGGAACCTTTTACTACGCGAACGGGGCGCGGTATAATGGCCAATGGTTTCACGGAATCAAGCAGGGGAATGGTCTCTTTATCTACGATGATGGCGCTCTGTATGCGGGTAAGTTCTGGCGCGACCATGTGCAAAAGGATGATACTGAGCGCGAATATCTAGATGCCAATCGCATCCAGCCTAATGTGCATCTACACATAGGGGACGCACTAGGTGAAAGCTCGACGATTGTGGACCAGAGGAGGCTCCAAAAAAACATTTTGCGGGCCAATTCTGAATTGAAGAACATCTACCAAGCGTATGTCACAAATGACATCGAAAGGGGGGTCTTTGCCATGTCTTTCCGCCAGTTTCGACTTTTTTGTTTTAAAACCAGCATCATCCCGGTGGTGCTCTCAGTCTCGAAGGTGAATAGCATCCTCTTAGCATTGCGTCGGCAGCATGCCGCCGTAATAAACATGGCGGTTCTTAAGAATTCCAAGCTAGCAAGTATTCCGAAAAACATTCAGCCTGGATATACTGAAACTATGTGTTCAATGCCATCTTTTGATGCAGCTGAGGCAGGTACAGAAATAGATATGGAGTGTGAACCTCTACTATATCGTGAATTTGTAGAGGCGGTTGTCCGGATCGCCATTGCAGTCGCTGCTCATCACAATCCAGAGCTGGTACCATCGGCCGCATTCCAAGATGTCATGGCAAAATACGTCAGACCGATATTGCCGTTGTCCACCGAGATGCCAGAGGCAGCATTGTCATCAAACCATGCAAGCATTTCTTTACAGAGGGCATTTTTCCTTATGTTCAACTCGGAAACAGGCACTGACGAAGGCCGCGTGCAAAAACTGACGCGCATATATTCGTCATTATGCATCCTGGCGCAAAAACCGGCGCCTTCTGACACTGATTCGCTTCTGTTCCTAGCTGAAGGTGAAGTTCTACTATCTGAAATGCAGAGTCTGTTGCCGAGCAAGTGCGAAAGTACCATCGGCATACTCGATGCAGCGTTTAGCAACTTGAAAACTGAGCCTACTCCACGGCCAGCACGGCGACTTCCGATATCCACAATGCAGCGCTATCTGCCATTGCGGGCGTGTCATCTATCTTCTGAGCGGATTTCCAGATGATCATGTATATGTGCCCGATATTATTTGGGAAAGATTTTTGCAGCGGGTGTATTTCTGGAATCGACTGAGACTCAGACTAATTTTAGGCCAACACCAAGCCCCGATTACCAGGGAGCCCGCCTCTTGGTAGAGCCAAATCGAGCATGAGGGGGGCGTATAATACAACTTGACTTTTGTTTGTCCCACCCCTCAGAAACCGACACGTTTGGTCGCGTGGGACAGGCCCTCGAATTTAACTCGAACATTTTTCTGGACGATTCACGGTTTTCGTCCCGCCAGCACTCTGGAATTTCCCACCGCGTGTCGCCATCGGTAAGATTTTGCTTACTTGGACCAGCAACCGCTTCCGACGGCGGGCGCCGTAAGCTCAGCACGGCCCGTGAATTTAACTCGTCGACCCAGGCGTGTTACAAGCAAACGCGTTTGGGTTAATTTATTGAAGTAGTAATCGAAAAAACCTCATCGAAATCATCCAAAACGGCATCGTTTCGACGGACAGGATAACGCTGCGGTGATGTGATGCGCCGGCACCGCGCCGCTTTGCACTAAGTGGTGCACGAAAAGCGCGCGTGCTGCGCCGTGCAGCGACGACGGGGTTCGGGAGCGCAAAAAATTCTGTTAGCGGCATTCTGCGGCGGCGAGACTGTCGATCACTGCGACTGCGGGGCGCGCCGACTCGATTTTTGCATTCCCGGGTCCATATACCGTGACAGCTGGCATGGGGCAACTCATCACCTCTCTGCGGTCGCCCTGCGACTGAATTAGGTTCGAAACTCCCCCGCGCGCGCGACGACGACGACGACGGCGGCGGCGGCGGCGGCGGCGGCGGCGGCGGCGACGACCGACCTACCGACCGACCGACCCAGAAAATAAGTGCCAGGAGCTCCCTGGGGACCTAGGGGGGTCGCCCGACGCCTCCCCAAGTACGCCCCCATCGGACCCGGTCGAATTTTACAAACCCAGACCCCCATGCTCGATTTCACTCGTATTTGAGGGGGGGCGCTCATCAGGCTCGGCATGGCGACCATTCCCACCGGGCTTGTTTTACGGGCGCCGTGTGGGTGGGCCGACCGGCCCTTCCGAGTCCACTCCCCAGGGTAGGTCGCAGAGGCGGCTATAGGGAGGTAGGGAAGTCGCCAGCTTGGTAATTGCATTTACGGCAGTACAATATGTTTCCGGTAACGAGTTAGTGAGTTTAGACCTATCATCATCCAGCTAAATAAAACTGCTGGTTGTGGTGGTCCTCTCCCAGCTCGCCGCTTCCCCGGGGTCCGGGGTGGCGCGGCTTATATTTTTTGGGTCATATGGTTTCTACTAACATCCAAGGGTTGGGTTTGAATGATGAGTTGCTGAGGCATTATAAGGAGGAGCTGACTGAGATGGCCTTGGGTATTTTGGATGGCAGGCCTTTCGACTCGCCCGTCCATGAGGGCATACTCCTGACTTGTATGTTGGAATTTCTACCATATGATGACTCTGATAAAGCAGAGTTTTCTCAGGAAAGGTTCCACAGTTACTTGAGCAAACTTAACGACGAGATAATAGAGGAGAGACGCAGAACGGAGCCCCCTGAACCCGAGTCACCGAACCAGACGCTGATGCAGATTCAGCAGACTCTGGGTCAGTTGGCTGGCCAAATGACAGATCCCCTCTCACCCACTGTGCTTATCCTCAGGCTGCTACTACGGACTGTACCTTAACGTCAAGTTGATGTACGGGACTTAGATTCTTTACACGTTCTGGGCGCAGCGCCGCACCCACGAGGCCGCTGCACAGCCGCGCCACCGACGACCGCGGGAAATTCGACGCTTTCTAGTTTGGACCCCGGGGGGGCGGGTGGGGTCCAAACTAGAAAGCGTCGATCCCGCGTTCGCTCTCTCCCCTTGTACTTTATTTCTCCACCGTATGCTGAATGTTTCCGGTCACCGGTGACGCGTTAGTGAGTTTAGACCACCTCAAGACCACCTATCATCATCCAGCCAAATAAAACTGCAGCGGCTGGTTGTCACACGGTGGTGGTCCTCTCCCAGCTCGCCGCTTCCCCGGGGCCCAGGGGCCCAGGGTGGCGCGGCTTATTTTTAGCCCGCCCGCCACCCTCCTTCGGCACAAATGAAGCACCCGCCCTGCCGTCGCTCCCTGCCGCACCCTCCCCCTGAGGTGGCTGCGCCACCCAAGCGCGGAGCGCAAGCGCGGCCCGTCGGCCTTCATTCTGGTATTACTGATCCAACTGAGCCCAGCCCCCCCTTGGGGGGGGGCTTGGGGGAGAGTTTACCTCGCAAGTTCACCTTGCTTCCTTTAGCCTCAGGCTAGTTGCGCAGGCTAGTGGGAGATACGAAAGGCCAAGTGGACGGAAACCACCCTGCGCCCGCCTCCCGTCCATCTCGGGCAATGCGACTGCAGTTTTTTTGCTGGGTAAAGCGCGATTCGCGCTTGCTTCGCCGTTGCAACTAGGCCTGTGGTTTCCTGATGCCATGATTCGGATGAGGATGTGTACGAAGAGACCTATGGCTTGACCACAACCCCAGCGTGTCCTTAGATCTGGCAAAACATGCCAGCTTTAATTCATCTGCAGTGTTCAAATGAACGCCATTCGTCTTCGTCTGGGTCGAAGGGAACGGTTTCATCCCAGGTAGGGTGAGAGACATGGAGAAAGCCGGTTGTTACCTGCAACAGGAACGGTGTTGTGTTGCTTCTGAAGGACGCTGCAGAGTCACATCTCGGATAACAAGGCAGTCAAACTCGCCTTCATCATCCCAGGTGACTATGACCCGAGAGCCAACAGGTGGGGGATCACGCTTCGGACGATTCTGCCGTGAGCGCTGGTCGGCCTTCGTGGCGGCTTCATCACAAGCGCGACGCCACTCGTCCTGCTTGCGTTTGCCACAACGTTTAAGAGCCCTGAGAGAATCCTCTGGGGGGTCCTGGCAATACGGCCGAAGGCCCGAAAGCGGAATGAAGCCCAGGGAATTTCCTGGAGGTAGGCCAAAAAAACGGACAATGTGCTTTGAGCCAACATGCTTCGCAGCTCGGTCACGAACTGGATCTCCGACACGGAATGAGCGTGGATCTAGAGCGACAGCAGGCCACCACGGTTCATTTTTCTTATCCTTTGCCCAGAGTAACTGCCCAAAGAAATGCCGCCACTCTGCAGGCACGTTGGCGATACGTTCCTCGAGACGTTTTTGAGCTTTAAAGGCTTCAAAGGATACGTCATCCCCACCTGCCATCGTTTCGAGAAGCTCAACAGACATATCCAAGCCAAGGAGATCAGCGATATCGTGAGTTGGTTCCAGGTCAGTCAATGCGAGCTCCACAAGCTCGCCATGCCGCGGGCCAAGCAGATGAGTCGCACGGAAAATCAGGGCATCCGTGCCGAGCTCCAGAGCTGTAGCCACAGCATCAAGTCGACCAATGCGAGGCTCATTGAGCTCAGGAGCGCTGTCGGATAGGGCAACGTAAGCGCCTAGAAGAGGATGCCCGACGACACGCCAAATACGCTTGGCAATCTTTTTGGAGGGGATCTTTTGAGATGGTTGGCTATGCGGCGGGGACCTGCGCTTGCAATGATCTAAAATAGAAGCTACAATTGCAGCAGCGTCTGGAGCCTTTCTTCGAACTTTTTCCACAGCATCAGGAACTTGTTTACAAAAGGCGATGACCCCGCACTTTAAGGTAGAGTTCCAGTGTTTTTTCAGAGAGCTATCAGTGCGACCTGGAAGTAGCCGTGCGATCGCTGCCCACTTGTTTCCGTGCTCCAGCACAGCTTCTATTAGTAGGAGGTCCTCCTCCACTGTCAGTGGTGCTTTGTTCATGGTTGGATCTAGAAAATTATGCCAGCGTTCCCGACACTGCTTGCTCGTGCGGTACGTGACCAGCGTGCGGCTGATTAATGTCCAGTTATCAGATGTGCCATAACGTCCCACGAGAGATGCCAGTGCATCGTCCTCTTGGACAGTCCAGGGCGCAATATTTTTCTTGCTGCTTTTTATGCCGCCATCATTGGTAGTTACCGACTTGCTTGAAGAAACGATGGGCTTCGTCTCTCCAATTTCTTTATCAACATTAGACTCATCAAAAGCGACAGCCTCTTGAATGGAGTGCATGCAATCTGGGTCGGGCATTTGGCCTGAAGTCTGTAAGAATGGCGAGCGCACCAGCTTGCGCATCTTTGAGATAGGAGTGTCATCCTCTGAATCAGTTGCCTCACAAGGTTTATGCGATTCTGATTCCAGATTAAAGGGGGGGGCATTTCTAGGCACTGATTCAAGAACTGTTCCCTCCTGCCCACATTGCGTAAGCCAGGCTGCCATACGACGCTCTTGGCTCGCCTTGAGTGCCGAAGTTTGCTCCATCTTGCGTGCATAGAGCAATTCACGAGCTTGCCTTGCTTCCTCGAGCCGATGAATGCGCTCTTGACGCTCTGCCTCTTCGATTTGCAAGCGCTCACGCGTTGCCCGTAAACGTTCTTCCCGAAGTGCCTCTTCACGGATTGCCCAGGCTGCAACACGCATTGCATGGTCGCGGTCTGCTCGCATATCGGTCTGTATGTCTACATGAAGAGAGCGATCAAAGGAACGAACGTAGGGCGCGATGTGCAGCAGAGCGCGGCATCGATAGTGACCTGGTAATCTACTACTATAGCGGTGCGACCGACTTGGGATTGCATGCTTAAGTGTGGAAGCTGTGCGGAATGCTTTGCGATTGGCATGGCTACCCGACGGGGGTGCTCCCGCAGTCAAACTGGGTGAAGTATCTCGCTCGTCGCGGCAGGCGCGACGGCGCGTGTTGTCGAGCATAGCATGAAGATGACGAATCTCTTGGCGGGAAACAGTCGAAAATTGGTGTGTACGGAGGGACGCAATGAGCGCGACTTCACGAAGTGCATTTTTCTCGCGCAGAGCATCGACATCGAAGCGGTTCGCAAGTTCACCGCCGAGGGAAACAAGATCGGATACCCACTTGCTCTCATTCTCGATGGGTACTTGCGGACCGCGGCGATCGAGGCGTTCCCGAAGGATTGCAGCAGACGCCAAAGAGTCCGGACACAGCTTTGCCCAGAAGTCAGGATCATCGAGGGCGACGCCACTTCCAGTCGTTTCAGAGCTTCCTAGTCCAAACCGCGTTGTCATCGCCTGAATGCCGCTCGAAAACTTGGCTTTAGACTTTGTTTGCGCAATTATTCTAGTTGATGCTCGCTCGCCAAGGATGGAATCAATGGAGGCATCCGCGTACTGTTCTGACCGATGCTTTTCATCCTCGTCACTCTGAAGAAGAGCATAAGCACCCTTCTTAAGGAGTTGCTCAAGCTGCTTGCGGTCGGGCTCTACTTTATCGTCACGATCTGACCCGCCTGAGCCGAGGACTGCTTTCTCGAGACCAAGCTTCCTGGAAGCACGTTCGAACATCTCGCCCTCGAATGAACGCGAGGCAACAAGGCGGTATACCATGACATCCTTTGTCTGGCCAAGACGATGGCAGCGGGCCTGTGCTTGGACGTCGTTCTGTGGGTTCCAGTCGCTGTCAAAAATTACAACTGTATCTGCAGCCTGAAGATTGAGGCCCACGCCTCCAGCTCTCGTAGAGAGAAGAAAAATGAAGGCATCCGAGCAGGGGTCGTTAAACCGATCAATGGATTTCTGACGCGCGGCCATCTTCACAGTCCCATCTAGACGCTCGTACATGAAGCCATTGGTATCACAGAGCTCAGCAAGAAGATGGAGTAATCGCACGAATTGGGAAAAAATAAGAACCTTGCGACCCTCAGACTTGAGGCGCGGCAACAGCTTAGTGAGTAGGACGAATTTGCCACTACCTCTGACGAGTGAATCAGGCTCACTCAAAAGCGCGTCGTCAATTCCTCGCACCAGAAGAGCATGATTACAGGCATTGCGCAGAGACATCTGCACATAGTTCAAACCGGCAATGCCGCAGTTGATGCTGCTCAAAAGCGATGCAGATTTCTCATAAATGGCACGATAGAGACGTTTTTGCATAGTTGTAAGCTCAACATCAATGACAGTTTCTTGTTTCTCGGGAATGTCCTTGGCGACATCTTCTTTAACACGCCGCAGAAGCCTCGGTTCAAGAATCTCGTGCAAGTTTGCGAGCTCGTCGAGATCACCTCTCTCGACACGAGAGAATTCAGCAAAGAACTGATCAGACTCTTGAAATTTGTCGCGGTCGGCAAAGTGGAGGAGGGACCAGAGTTCACGCAGATTGTTCTGTAGAGGCGTGCCTGTGATCAATAGACGCCACTGCTTTGAGATTGGCGTATGCGCTAAAACTTTTTCTAGGCTCACTGCAAGCTGAGATTTGTCATTCTTCAATCGGTGCGCTTCATCAACAACGCAAACGCGCCACACAGCTCCGCAGCGCGCAAGAAGCGCCGTATCATGGGTGATAGTCTCATAGGTCGCTACCAGTACGTCAAACCTTGGCGACGTGTCTTCACCCCACTCAAAATATCGCATGAGCTCTCGTCCACGCGATGTTGCATCGTGATATACACAAACCTCTAATCGAGGCGCCCAAACAGCAAGCTCCCGTCGCCACTGTTCGATCGTACTTAAAGGCACAACAACGAGTGCCACAGCTTCACTATGTACCAATCCTAGAATGCGGTCCAGCGCGCAGCATGCTTGGGCTGTCTTCCCAAGGCCCATCTCGTCCGCCAAGATGCAACCGCGCCTATTTTTAGTCAGCGTATCACATGATATCTGATAGGGATTGGAAGCTAAAATCAATGAGACACGGGGACAGTACCCACACGTGCGGTTAGCTACCATCCAAGTCACACCCACCTCCTGGTAGTCTCGCAGCGTTCGGGCGATCTTGATATCCTGGCCGAGCGACGATGTCTCCAAATCATCTGGTGCAGAAATGTGCGACGCCTGCGTACGCTTTTTTGCTGGCTTGCTCAGATGTTCAAGATCGACGAATGGTGTATCGGCAGTCCTACTTGCTGCATCCGCGGCACGAGCAGCTGCCGACCCGTCCACGCCACTTGGAGGTCGGTAGAGCCGTAGTCTGACAAGCGTTGTGCCCAGTGCAGCCTGAACCTGCTGCCCAATTTCACTGAGGCTGCGACCCAATACTTCCAACGTCCCAATACAACAAATTATATCACCGACATTGATAGGGATCACAGGACTGCTTGGAGTGTCGCGTATCTGGGAAACCCGCAGCGCATGCCTGGCGCCGCTGGTAAGGATATCTGCGTAAGTAATGGACTGGATATCGATCCGCGGAATTTCTACTCTTCTTAAGATGACTGCGTAGAGAGAGCCAGCTGGTGCGCAGTCTGGCAACTGCGGTGCCCATCTATTTGGTTCGCCACGATCACGCCGCGAAAAGTACAGGGTAACTTCTTTATCTGTCTCTTGGTCCCCGGCAATATCCTCAGCGGCCTCCCAAGAACATTCTTCGTAGGATCTGTTGCGCCACTTAACCAAGTACTCGCGCCTCGGCTTGGAAATCGAAGTAGGACGAGTAACTTGGCGTGCGCGCCAGAGCTGGACAAGCTCTACTGAACGTCGTGGTAGCTCCCCATATCCGCCCCCAGCCTTCAAACATCGACGGCAACGGTGGCTTTCCCCCGTGGAACTGCGGCAGCAGGGACGATCACAATGAACACATGCGACGGCAGAAGAGGAGCTATACTCATTGAGCTCTGGCGTAGTATCAACTCCAGTGAGCCAAGTCTTAAAGAGACGCTCACAGCGCATACCAAGCGCATCTGCAATAATACCGATGAAACTCTGCGCAGCATTGAATCGCTTGCAATTTTCCCAGATGATCTTGACGGTGCGCTGGACTTCGTTTGCATCTTTGTAACCTACAAAAGACCAGATGACCCATCAGCGCCATGTAATGAAGACGTGGGGTTGATAGAACTTCGATACGAAAGTTTGGTGTTCACACTCGGAGGCACGCCGCTGGCGTCCATCCGCTGCAGCGCCGTCCCCAAGTCCATCGGCTGGTTCGGCGCGATGCCGGCAAGGTATGTGGGGTACAGAGCAAGCGGCACCGGTGCTAGAAACGGGTCTGCATCCATGTCTTCACAAAGACTTGCAACAACACACCCGCAGAGGGCAACCTACGATCACCGCGACTTCCAGCCCCGTATTGCGAGGCGTCTGAATTCCACGACGCGGGGGGGACTTCGCGACTCAGCCTCCTGGTTGGCCGTTGCGCAAGGTATTCTTTGCTGACAACGCGCCGACTATCCGCGAGCTCACCCGTGGAAAAAATGATTTCATAGTCGAAGTCGGTTTCATCGCTGATCCGGGTTCGTGCGGAAACGACACGTCCACGACACGGTGATGGCCCAGCCGATTCTTGTTCTTCTTCATCCAGGAGCGTGTGATACTCTGTGAACCAGTCCCCAAGTAGAGGGTAACCCTCCAGGCACCAAGCGGAACCCAGAGTGTGGAGAGGGCCAAAGTGAGCACAATCAGGCAATGGAAGTAGCTCGTGTTCGGCGAAATGGGGATCAACTGCACCAGGATTGAGGAAGCGCGGTGGCAATTCCTGTGCTACACGGCAGTCCAATATCCGCTCCACGACTTCGGCATCTGTCTCATCTTCGCTGATCTTATTTGCAAACCGTAAAAATGCAGCTCGTGATCTTTTTCCGAGTCGGAGGGCCTCTTCTGCCGAGAGCCACGTAAGATTAAGTCGGCTCCCACCAAGAGTGCGGCAGGCGTATTGCTTGGCGAATTTGCCGTCTGCGCCGACGTCAAATCCTTCGATAATGCACTTTGATGTCACAAACTCGACCACATGTGTGTCATCATCGTCTATTTGTGGTTCGAACACCGGTGGTCTTCTAGCGGGTTTCGGTTTCGGTGCGGTCGCCGGAAATTGTGTGTCACAGTTGACGCAGCGCCTTGCGCGAGTACCATTAGTCGAACCGCAAGCTGAACATAGTTTGCCCTTGAACGTATACTTGCGCCTTTTCCGACCTCGTGTTCCTCCATCTCCCGAGTCGGAGTCATGCTCCTCCTCGTACTGTCGCTTTGATGCGCCGCGACGTGCACGCTGTGGCTGGCTAATTGCGCCCGTTCCCGGATTGAAATTCATCGGGATCGACGGTGGCGGCTGGCCAGCCTCATCTGCTGCTTCGTCCATCTCCTCCAACATCTCGTCCAGCATTTCGACGTCGGAGGGGACCGCCGACTGAGCTCTGTGTGTCAGGGCGTCCCGCGTCCTGGCGTCCTGGCCGAGTGTGGTCGCGGCGCGGTGCTCGGGCCTGGGAAACCCAACGAAGCTGAGTTTGCGACTTGGCCCCACCACTTTTATATGTGAGTGGCCACCATTCCAACTTTAGCGAATTTGTGTTCTTTAACGTCTTCTCTTTCAACACCGACGAACTCGCCTGCCCCTAGACAGGCTCTTCCTGCGTGCTGCTCGTTTGGTGCTAGTGGACGTGAATATTTCCCCTGTACAAAAATACAAGTCGGGGCTTTTAGAAAAGAAGGTGGACAGTATTAGGATAATCACAGTGGGATGTAAATCCTACACCCTGGTACAGCGGGACCCTTCAGCAGCCCCCTTCGTCCAGTAGAGTCTGGGATCGGCGCACTGAACGCATCGCGGTGTTGAGATGGCGAGCGATATGCGAATGTCCCCACGACCGTGAAAGCACCTGTTGTCCCATCGCATCTTTCACGAGATCACCAGGAAGTAGTTCGACCGAACCCTCTATGCCCGAGCCGCCCAAAGACACGCCAATATTCCCCGTAGATGAACTTATGGTCAATTTTGGCGATGCTCTTGACCTAGGTAATTGAAACTCAAGGCAAAACAACAAGGTTCTACGACACGGAAAAAAGCAATTACTTCCGGCACCAAGCTCCATTGATGCATTTGGCAATTACGAGGTTGTATTTGCCCTCGAGTTCGGCGTGTTTTGCACCGATCGCCGCAATTCCAGCCTCGGCGGTGTCAACTCGTCTCCTCAGGCTGTTCACCGAATAAGAAGCACGTCCAAGAGCTGCGCGCGTAAATCTCAAGGCAATCTCACCTAATTGGTGAACTTCACCTCAGTTGTGGCGAGGGGAGGGAGGGACCTGTGTCCTTCAGGCGGTGTAAACTGGCCGCGTCGTTCTCAGCAACCACGAGCGCCTCAGAAGCTGCACTCAGTCTGCGATTCATGAGGGCGTGATGACGGCGAGCGTGCCCCTCCACACATAGCAGCTTCTTCTGTGTACGTACGAGCATCTCGTGCCAGCCGAAGAGGCGCAAAATCATCAGGCCCTCAAGAGCTCTTAGCTCCTCTACTAAAGAAATTCCAGCATCGTGGATGCTCTTTCGAGCTGCTATTAAGCTGCCTAGAGACCTGTTTTGGAAATCGGCAAGCTGTGCACGACTTGCTTGCGCGTCGGTGATGGCCCGCTCGTGTGAGCTGCGCAACGCTTCAAACGCGAACTCAGCTGCCGCCGCGCGTCTGATGTTAAGTACACTATAAAAAACAGCTTCTTGAGCGACCGAAGTATGTGCCCCGGAAAGCACTGCTAGGGTGGCTACGTCCTGCTCTGCCAATCTGATTCGAGCCTTGGCCCGTGTGGTCTCGTGTGCGCGCAGATCATCACCTGCCTGCTCTGAACTCGCTGCTGCTGCTGCTGCAACACCGGATCGCGATAGAGCTATCGCGGTGCGAGCTGCGCAGACGCTTTGAGCCGCGGCCGCAACAGCAATGTCGCTCGCGTTGCCACGTTGCATGCTCACTATCATTCCCATCGCCTTCTGATTGGCCATCATTGCGGCAGTGAATGCTGCATCGAGGTTTCATGGGCGTGTTCAGATTCCACCGCTCTGGCTAACGCGCATGAATGAGCAGCTTCGGATGCCGCAAAACCAGCGCTCGCAGCATCAGAGGCAGAAACAGCGACAAAACTTGACTGCAGCTTCAGCTGGGCTATCTCAGCAGCCATCGCGAGACCTGCCGATTCGGCAGCTTTGACACGATCGAAAGCCAACTCAATTCGCATCTCAGCAATATCTGCGCGATGAGTTGCTGCAGCCGAAGTGGCTCTCGCCATGTGCAAATGCCTCAAGGCTGCTCGCGCCGCAGCACGCGCGTTAGCAATCTCCCTGCGTAGGCTACCCAGCACGGGCTGGCAATACTTGTTGCTTGCAAAAAAAATTGGATCCTCGCGACCCGGCACGCGGCTTGTCAAAGGCGCACAGACTGCGTCTACGCATACCCCAGTCTCCAAGTCATCCCGGACATCGAAACGTTTTCTTTCAATGCTCGAAACAGGCATCGTTACGCCTGCTATCGCACCGACGACATACGAGATACCTGTTTCGAGACGGTGGCGTAGCCGCTCCGATGACTCTGCTCTTTGGCGCTGCAGTTCTGCATCCTCTCGATGAAGTATGACCTCTGCATCAAGACTGCAGACCTGAATTGCTCGTCGCTCCTCAGAGATTGAAAACTCGGCTTGTGCCCACTTGCGCGCAGTCTCAGACACCGAAAGCATGCCTCTCAAATCCACTAACTTGGAACGAATGCGTCTCAGTTCCTCCTCTGTCTGCTTTAGCAACCTTTGGCCTTGTGCCGCGCGATGATTTTCCTGCTCCGCGAAAACCAAAGCTGCCTCTACCTCTGCGCTTTGCGCGGCAGCGACTGGATCCTCCTGAGCTTGCCAATACCAGGGTTGAGCGCCAGAAATCATGGAGAAGCCCGCAGTTTAATCAAAGGGACATTATTTATCATCAGTATTTTGCCAATTGACGACGCGGCGCCGACAGCGCGCGCGGGGCAGCCAACTCACCGGGCCGCGTCGTCAATTGGCGCAACACACGACGGGCTTGGGGAGCGCCTCGCGCAGCCCACATCGTGCGGCGCGCTGCCAAATCAACGTCGTCACATAAAAATTGCATTTACGGCAGTACAATTGCATTTACGGCAGTACAATATGTTTCCGGTAACGAGTTAGTGAGTTTAGACCACCTATCATCATCCAGCTAAATAAAACTGCTGGTTGTGGTGGTCCTCTCCCAGCTCGCCGCTTCCCCGGGGTCCGGGGTGGCGCGGCTTATATTTTTGGGGGTGATATGGCTTCTACTGACATCCAGGGGTTGGGTTTGAGTGATGAATTGCTGAGGCATTTGAAGGCAGAGATGTGTGATGTGTATGAGATGGCTATGGGTGTGTCGTCAGAGACGGCTGCGCCGATCCATACCGACACACTCCTGGCTCTGATGTTTGAATTACTACCATATGATAATTCTGATAAATCAGAGTTTTCTGAAGGCACATGTCAGAGAATGTGTCCATTTTTCTTAATAGTCTCCAGGAGGTTTCGATAGTGAACGGGCGATTGGTGCGTGGGGCTGAGAATAGCGGTGCATGAGAATTGTGCTGAAAAATTCCCCTTGGGG